CCCCTCTCGGAGCCGCTCCCACAGCTCCGCGCCGGCCGCAGGGGGCGCTGCTCCCGCCGACGCCCGGGCCCTCCCCGCCCCCCGACTCGCGGGTGGCAGCCAGGCATACACACCTCCAGGGAGCCATCACCAAGAGCTCCTGGTCTCCAGGCACCGCCTCCCCTCCACCCAGCAGGGCCCCCCAGGACCTGCGATCGCCCGGCTGCCGGGGGTCACGACATGTTCCACAGGGGTCTTCCGGCGACTCCCACTAGGCTCCTCCTGCCGTCCCGGTCGCCAGCCCTCGCCCCACCTGCTGCCACACCTCCAGGGAGCCATCACCAAGAGCTCCTGGTCTCCAGGCACCGCCTCCCCTCCACCCAGCAGGGCCCCCCAGGACCTGCGATCGCCCGGCTGCCGGGGGTCACGACATGTTCCACAGGGGTCTTCCGGCCCGACTCCCACAGTAACGGACCCTCCAGCAGATCTGCCCCGGCCCTTGGCTGGGTGCGGGGGGTGCGGCCGCTGCCCGGAGCTAGCCATTGGCACAGTGAGGGGCCTGGAAGGCCCTGGAGGAAGAGGGCTCTGCAGGAACTGGTTCAGGGCCTGGCTGGCAGCAGGAACTCGGGGGACAGGCACTAACCCAATGGCCCTGTGCCTCGGGGATGAATGCCGCCCCACCCGTCTCGCTGCCCATTGAGCAGCCTTGACAAGAGCCCAGGCCTCAGGTGCATGTGGCCATCCCTAGCCTGAGCCCCTCTGCCGGCTGGAAAGGGCAGGACACAAGCCAGGCACCTCTACACACAAAGACCCCTCCTCATAAGAGCCTCCGCGCCGTGTTCGGGGCACCCCTTTCTCCCTGCAGGGGTGGGGGTTCCCAGTGGAGGTCCGACTCCACTCTGGCCTGGAGGGGAGAGGAGCCCCCACTTCCAGGGGTCCGAGGCTCCATCCTGCTCATGCCCACTGCCCCGCTACCCACCGAGGCCCTGGGCACCTCTGCCCGCAGTCAAGCACTGAACAAGGCAGACAGTCCCTGCCCACCCTCAGGGTCTCCGGGCAGGGGTAGACTTAAGGCGGGCAACCCAGGGAGGAGCCCAAGATGACAGGGGGTCAGCCAGGTGAGCAGCCGGGATGGTCCGTGCAGTGGCCCTGGGGCCAGTGAGGGCCTGAGAGAGACAATGGCCGAGGCAGAGGGGTGAGCAGCGTAGGGGAGGCTGGGGAGGGGGTGGGCATCAGGCTGAGCTGGGCCTCCCGGACTATGACTACGGTCTTCCTGCTAAGACCAACGGGAAGTCACAGAAAGCAGCTGAGCTGGGTTGGGCTCCACGTTGTGACTTAATTTTCACAAGGATCCCTGGCTGCGGGGGAGGGGTGGCAGGGGTGAGGTCCGGCAGGGAGGCCATAGGTGGCCACTGTCACAGGGCAAGTGAGAGGGGAAGGTGGCTAGTGGCCGGGCGGGGCCTGGAGCTGGAGGGACTGAGGACCGGGGAATTCCAGCGTGCGCCTCCCTCACGCACCTGGGGCTGTTCAGGCCAGCTGGGGGCGGGAAGGCGGCCTCGGCTGCACCCCCATCCAGAAGCTCCTGTCTCTAAAGAAAAAGAAAAAAAAATTTTTTAAAGCCCGACCAGCATGGCTCAGTGGTTGAGCATTGACCTGTGACCCAGGAGGTCACAATTCAATTCCCAGTCAGGGCACATGCCCGGGTTGTGGGGCTTGCAGGAGGCAGCTGATCAGTGATTCTCTCTCATCAGTGCACTCTCTCTCCCTTCCTCTCTGAAATCAATAAAAATATATTCTTTTTAAAAACTGGAAGCTGCTGTCTCAGCCAGAGGCACCAGGGGTGACCGCACCCCGCATCTCAGGATCCAAGCTCAGCCCGTCAGGGGAGATGCAGGCTCCCTCGGGATCCGGGAGCCCCTGCCCGCCCTGCAAAGCGACGGAGACAGCGGCCTGACCCAGGGCCTCCCTCCACACCCTTTGGGAGCCGGACCGAGGTCCCTGTGGCCAGGCAGCCGGGGTGCATCAAGCCGTACTGGGGACAGCAGACCCTGGACGCCTGCCTCCCTGCCCTGTGTCCCATCCTAGGGGCCCAGAAGCCCCTCCTGACTCCTAGGAGCCACGGCCCAGACCTAACGGTGCCCAAGAGGTTCAAGTCAGGGAAGGTGCCTCTCCCGGGGGCAAGGGGACACCCCCACACTGGCGGTTGCTAGGAGACAGGAACCCTTCCTCTGAGGGGTCCCTGCAGGGATTGCTGCAGCCTTGGGCCAGAGGGCTGCAAATCCAGGGGTGGTCGGGGCGCCTGCCTCCACCCTTGCCGGGCCAGGCTGCCCTGCCTCTCCCAGGAAGGCCCCCGTGATTGTCCCAGGGTCCACTGAGCCACAGCACCCCTCAGATCCCAGTTCCACCGGCCCCCTAGCCTGGGCTCCCGCTCTGAGCTCCAGCCCCAGGGGTTCTCCCGGGTGTGCCCTGGGCAAGTGCTCCGCTTGTGCTGGCACCGTGCGGGTAGTCTGGGGGCCACTCAGCCTGGCCAGGGGGCTTCCGGCCCGGCCGGGGTGCGGACTGCCCAGGATTTGGACAGAGCCTTATGCTCTCAGGAATGAGCTGCTTCCGCCCGCCCGCTGCGTGGTGCTAAATATAGCGCCCGGAGGGGGGTTTCCGGTTACAGCCCCCCCACCCAGTGCCGGGAAATCGATGCCAGTTCCATTAGGCTCCGTGGCGGGCCGGGCTGCACTCCAGCCCAGGGACCCTGCCCTCTACCCCACCCTGCAGCCGGGGGCTCAGCACATGCCCCAGGGCCCCGAGAGCCCAGGCCCCGCCGGACGCCCCCCCCTGACAGTGCGGCAGGCAGGCGGCCCAGAGCCGTGAGCAGTCGGGTGGGCATCAGGCAGGCGGGGTGGGAGGCAGGCGGGGCACCCCTGGGCACAGCTCCTGCCCCGGGACAGTTCTTAGATGAGCGAGGCCTGGGGCAGCCCGCTGGGGTCTCCTCTGGACAGAGTGGAGCTGCAGCGCCCTGGACCCCACAGTTGCCCAGCCCTGCTGGCCCCTTGGACACACCACACACCCTCAGGCCCCTCCCTAGCAGCTTGGCACTCACCTGGCTGGGCTCCCAGGAGGCCCCACCTGGGTCATGGCCGGCATTTGCATATAGGTGTGCTGCTGGGGTGGGTCGATTGGGCCTCAAATGCAGGCCTGGGCTGTGCTGCTCTGCTAGGCTCTGCGACACGCAGCCCCACACCGCCTGCCTGGAGTGGGCCTGGGAGGGGCAGGGCAGGCACACAAGGGCAGGTGGGCCCAGCAGGAGCCTGAGGCAGCATGTCCCGCCCCCACGCCATCCAGCTGCAGCCCAGGGCCCAGCCCGGGAACACTGGGCCCATGGCATCGCTCCTGGCCACCCCAGCCCCAGACCCGCCCTCCTGTGAGGACAGCACCCCTGGATTCCTTGCCTTTCCCAGGTCAGGGGTTCATGACACCGACATGGCAACACCCCAGGGGCTGACCAGAGGGTGTGGGGGCTCTGGGGAAGGGCCAGACCAGGTCACCACCCTCAGGTGGGGCCCCATCCCCGGCTGATGCCTGTGACCATGGTGACCAGCACACATGCCCACAGCGGGCTCCTGGGTGCTGGTAAGTGGGCAGCGAGCCCATCTGTGACCCCCAGCGCTCGAGGCCACACACACAGGCTGCAGGTGGGGGGAGATGGCGCCACACTCCTGTGGCCCAGGGGACACGGGCTCTGGGGGTGCCAGCCCAGGCCATGGGGCGGGGGACCTCACTTCTCCAGGAACAGGGAGTGTGTGCCCCCTGGAATGCACAACCCACAGTTCTGCCCCCGTCCTGACTGAGGCCGGCTCGGCCACCACTCCAGAGGCCCACTGAGCTGCCCTCCCGGCGTGTGTACCCACCTCCCACCCCGGCCTGGCCTGTCCTCTGGCATAGCCACAGCCCAGGCTTCTGCTGTGGAGCTGAGGGTCCTCTGGAGAGCCCCCCGTCTCTGGGCCTCCCCCGGTCACAGCTCGGAACCAGTGGACACAGCTGGAGCCACAGGAGCCTTTATTGGGCTGCAGGGTGGGGGCCTGGACCGGCCTGGCTCCAGACCCCCTCGGGGGTCACAGGAGACCCAGGCCGGGGCCCACACAATGGAGGAACCAGGAGATCCCAAAGATGACGCCGAGGGTCTTGGGGACGTCCGGGTTGTCCGAGAAGGCCTGGGCGCCCCCCAGGGGCAGGTGCACGACCTCAATGAGCTCGCCCTCCTCAGCCAGGCCCCCGCCCGGGCCGCCCCTCTGGGCGTCGGTCACCTCCGCATAGAACATGGTCTGGCTGGAGCCGGTCAGTCCCACGCCAGCCCTGTGGGTCGAGACAGCGCAATCTGAGCCACAGAGCAGGCCGCAGCCCTCTCCGCTCGGCACCCGCCCGTCCCCAGTGGAAGGAAGACGGAGCAAGCACCCAGCTGTGAGGGCCACGCGGCCAGGACCCACGCCACCCGAGGAGCTGGCCGTGGTCCAGGCCGACAGGGCCGGGGTCACACGCCACAGCCGTGAGCTGGGAGTAGGGTCTGAGCCCCGGGGTAGGCAGGAGACCGGCCACCAACCACAGCGGCCAAGGCTCAGAGA